ATATTTTGATATATTAGTTTATTAGTTGTACATATTGTTCAATAAACATGATATCCACTACTCATCTCATTGATCTCCAAGAGCTCGCAGTCTGACATAGGAAATCAAATATTCACAAACAGGAAAAATTCTTTCAAATCTTATTAGGATATTCTCCAAGTTCACGAAAAGGAAATTTGGAAGGTGATAGCTCGAGTTGGATAAACCAAATTCGCAATGGAGCGCTATTCTGTGAATAGTCCTCAGTTATTCTACATAGGTAACTTTCAGTAAATGTAAAGTATTACAACTTCTGTGTTCTTCTGTTCGAATGGGATCGTTCAATGACTGAACTCAACAAATTGCGTTTTAATAATTCAATGAAATCCAACTTCTATTTCTGCCGTCAATTTGGTCAGTCATATCAGTCAAAGAATAACTTTCATATGTCTAGTTGACCCAATAAGGAGAACTCTTATAAATGTTCTCCCGTCTGTATGTAAGTTACACCTCTGTCGCCTTCTCTAAGACATTGCGCGTAGTTTTACAATGATCATATTCCGTATTTGGTTGTTGGATCACTTTGATATTCGAAACTGTACAAGACTGTAACAAATTTCAAATAACTACAAATTTCGAACATTACTCTGGTTTTCTCATTAACAAAGAGCAATGTAGATTTCTAAACGAAAGGTCATTTGCTATGAAAGAGAGTAACATGGTTCAACCGAATAGAAACATACTTCAGCTGTATCTTCAGTGAACTCGGTCAGTAGGATGAATATCCGTATATGCAAACTATATGAAGTGGGAAGTGAAATTAGCGTAGAATTGAAAGATTTCGTTGTAAATCTTCTAATTTAAAACATGAAAACTGTCATTCTGTATTGGATGACAATTAAATACATCCAAAACCCGACTACAAAAATATTTCTTCAGAATATTCTTTATTCGTTCACGTATTCATGTATAGAAGGGAAAGATATATCTATATATACATATATGATGGGAGAGGGAGGGAGGGAATGAGAGAGAGCGGTATAAAAGAAGGATAACTATGAGTATATATATAGAGATTGACAGAGACAGAGAGAGAGAGAAAGAGAGAGAGAGAGTAGATGTGTGTCTAGACGAGGGAAAGAGGAACGGAGTTGAAAAGTTGCAACGAATGAAACAACGAATGTGACAATATGTGCCTCGAGTTGACTTACAGTCCCTTTAATTCTCTTAATAATCTATAGTTTATTCCACTATTTCATATCTCATCATCGTTATTCAGCTTATTCTTCTGCTACTAAGCAAACAGTACAGCCAATGGACAGCTTCTCATCATCTCTTCAAGCTTCAATCTATGTATCCCATCTATCTATATTCCATAATTTATTTTTATTTTTATTATCAAATATATTATATAGTTTCCTTTTCAACTCAATTATACTTTTTTTTTTATTTTTCGAGGACATTCTTCCAGTTGACCTCATTTTCAGTTCTTTCACAAAAAAAAATCTTTTTTTTTCCTCCTTTCCTTTCTCTCTCTCTCTCTCTCTATCTCTCTGTCTCTCTCTGTCTCCCTTTCTATTTTTTAAAATTATATTCAATAAGCTTAAAAGATGATTCCATTTCGTCATTAATTAAACATTTATCGCCAAAGTCTCCATGTGTTTGTGACCTGTTCGTCCTGATCCGGAATTTCATCAAGAAAATTTGCCTTTCGGCTCCCTCTTCTTCTTTTTCTTTTTTTTTCTTTTGTTTTTATCATATTCATATTATTATTTTTTTTGTTTCAAGAAAAAAAAAAGAAATTATTTTATGATAGTGGTGTGTTGAGGTGATTGAAAGTGCTTTGCCGGAAACCTGTCGTTTCTGATTTCCTAAATTGGTCATCCAGAAGTGGTGGAAAAGAATTAAACACAATATTGACATTTATGATTAAAATTCTTGATAATTTTTTTGTGCTTAGCTTTTCAGTCAATTCAGTTTATGCAAAAGGAGCTATCAATTCATGCTTTTCCTTTTGAACGCTAGATGAAAGCTAATTGGAAACTGACAAGCTCGAGAGATCAATGTGTTTGCTCGAGAAGAAAGGAAATGAAGTCTTCATTCACTTTCCAATCTTATTATTTTCATATTTTTTATCGCTTAATGTTCATTTCGTTCTTAAAAACTCTTTTTTTCTCTCTATATCGATTACATCCATTCACAGCTGGTGATCTTCCATTTGATGGAATATATCAGCTTAATGAGGCCTTAGATCGAGATGTGTTTTCTTTCTAGTGAACTTCCCGGGAACACACTTCCCGCTCTTATGCTCTCTCTCTTTCACCTTTCGTATTACAAATTCGTTACGTGAAACGAACGTGTATCTTCCATTTTCATTTCATTGACCAAAACAGTGTTGAACGGTTGTTTTCAGTGGTTTTTGAATTGAATATCTTTCTTATTTGCAACCACTTCATTTACTTTTCGAAAAAAATCGAGAATTTTAAAGAATTGGCGATGTAAGCTTTACCTAGTTAAAGTGACTTCATCTGATAGCTTTCCCACTTCAAATCCTTCCTGTTCTCATCTCATATCATCTTTTTTTCTCTAAAATAAAGAAAAGGAACAAAAAGGGGAGGGAAATCTAATGAGATGAAGCATTTTAAGCTTATACCCTCTTACAGCTTCTGATAGTAGTTTTTAAGACAAGGGCGGCTAAAAACAAGATGTCTTGCCTCTTCAAAGTGAAAAGAGCTCTTGTCTAAAATATTTGTTTGTTTAACAGAAAAAGGAAAGGTGAGGTTTTCAAAGAAAAAAAGACAGCCAAACACCTTCGTTTGGCAGTTCATTAGATTTTCCTTAACTATACACACACACATACACATACATTAACTGTTTTTTTCTTCATGAATTATCTTTAACTATATAATGCAACTATCGATAACCAATAGAGATATCATCTGCTCTACCCCCCCCCCCCCCCCCCCCCTCCTTTTTCTTTCATGTCCCATCTATTCCATGTCTTTTCCGTTTTTTTTTATTATACATTATATTTTAATTATGCTAATTATGCGTTTAAATTGTTTCAAAAACTTGAAAACTTTATAATTTATTCGTTTACATAATGCAATTTATAATATTATTATTATTATTTTCTTTTTCTCTGAACACTCTCTTATTTACGTATGCTCTCTCTCTCAATCATTTTATGTGTGAATCGATCAATATATATCTTAACTATATAAACTATATTTCAGTTTTTTATGATTGAAAATGGATTAGAAATTTATGAAATTGGCTATCAAATTGATACAATTATAATCTTTACAAGACCATTTTTCATTTAACGACCTACTCACTATGGCTGCTGATCGTTCGAATATACCTGTTGGATCATCAGCCCCAGGCTATTACTCAAGTGGAACTGTCAAAATTATTCCAGCTTCAGCTATGAGAGATCAACAGTTCTCGTTTGATCCACAAGTGTTATATAGACCTTATGTAAGTTATTTTTACCCACTTAGGCATATGCTTTCTTATATTTATATATATGATTATCATGCTTTATAAGTCTGTTGTTCAAGCAATCAACGGATTATTCACTTGACAAGCAAAACATTTCTCATTTTGAACTCTCTTTTCTTCATTCTTAGCTCTCCCTCTCTCTCTATCTACTTCTCTCTCTCTTCTTCTTTATCATCATCTTTGTCTGTTTCAGAAAAATCATTTTTCACTCTTTCTCTCTCTCTCAGAAGTTCAAACACATCGAAAAGTAATTGATGCGATCAAAGTTAAATGGAAATAATCCCTTATTCTCTCATTCAATAACCTTATAAAGCTTAATAGTTCATCTCTTTTTACTATACACGGCTATGAACTCATATTTCACTCAAACAGTCTGTTTGTCTCGGCAACATTCCATCTCAAACCACTCATGTACCTTCTTCCTATGTTCCTCATTGTTTTTCCTCATCTCTCATTTCTTTTTTTCTCTCATTCTCTCTTCTTATAACTCTTGCACACGAAAGTATGAGAGAAGAACGTACAAGAGTATCTGAGCAAGAAATACAAAGAGATATTGAGATAGAAAAAGAAAGAGAAAGAGAGAAATAATTGACAATGAGGGTGCGGATACAAGATTCGTGCTTAGTTCTCTAAATTATCTTTTGCTTGTAACCTTTTGTTTGGTCAAAGCTTGTACTGAAGCCGACCATTTATTTCTAATTCTCATAATAACTTTCTAAATTGATTTCGTAAATCAAAGATTTCCTTTTGAACAAAGACAATTGAAGAATCGCTTGTATTTACACGTTGTGTAAGTTGTTAAAACATCGTCTGTTCAGCTTCTCCATCAGCTTTTCCTCCTTAGTATTTGCTAGAACTCTCTATTTCAAGTAGTTAGGACACGTTTTTTTCTTTTCAAATTCTAATTAACATTAAGAAATTTTAAGGAACAACAGTCATCATCCTATCCTCAACCTATTAACGTAGCTTATTATATGACTGGAGGGATGTATAATGCTAATCCCAATGCTTACTTACATGAACCGTATGGTCAAAATGCTTATATAGGTAGTTTTACATTCAAACATCGCTATTCTTCATTTCAATTAGATAACTATGCCGACAATACTTCTTATCCATTCTATGGAAACTATAATTTCACTCCATATCCATATCAAAATTCAACGGTCCAGCCAGGTGCGTATGGTCCTTATGCTGGAGCTACTAGCGCTTATCGACCATATCCACAGCCTCAACCATCACCTCCGAGACGATCGAGGTTCTTAGTTGATACTATGCAGTTTAAACATTTTTTTTTATTTGTTTGTAGAACAGCTCCAAATCGATCTGGTCGATCTTCTGTCATTTACCACACAGAACAACGACGACCAAGAGGATATTCAGCTAATCCTTATGATCATCGACGAATACCATCAACTAATCAGCCAAAGGTTATAATTAGTTAAGATTAGTATAATTATGAAATTCGTTCTAGCCATACTTCGTTCAACCACCTAAGAAAACAAACAATGTTTATAAAAAAAGGCGGGAACCCACAATAAATCGATCACAAATGGTAATTTTCTTTTTCTCAACAAATATTTGAATGAACCAACTGATCAATGTAGGAAACTGATTTTGGTGGTGGAACATTGGAATACAAAGCTTTTCCAACAAGATATTATCCAGAAGCTTCGGTAAATTTTAAAATTCATTCGAACCAATTAGCATACGGCATGACGTCATTTCATTTTCTCAACTAGAAGATGTGAAGCGGTTGCACATCTATGAGTTAAACACAATACACAATGAACTTACAATCATGATTACAGACAACTCAGCAACATACTTTACGAAGGATTAGGCCGTATTATGCCCCAAGCTATGCAACATACCCACCATCAACTATGAACAAAATAAATAAAAAATTGGATACAAAACGATATCCGTTATATGCTCGTGTTATTTTAAAATTCGCTCAATTAGTAAGCTGAATGTTGTTATGATCGATTTCAATAATGATGTGTTCTAGATATTAGGCGCCGCTATTTTGGGATTAGTTTTAGGACCCATGAAAGGTTATTCGTTTCACGAATTTGTTGTTCGCTTTAACACTGAATGGCAAGGTATGAGTAGAGCTAGCAGTATGCAAATTTATAATGATCATATTAAGGTCTTGTCGTTGGTATTGTTTCTTGTTGGGGAATATTAACAGCCATTCTATTAGTCACATGTTGCTTAGCAAACAAAGTTCACGCATGGCGTAAATTGGTATATATTATTATGAATTCAATCATATTATTATGATCTATTATAGGATGCGCACATAAATCTGATAGGAATATTAGCCTATCTGGTTGCTTCATTCTTAGAAGCTTATTATGCTGCATGCTATCCACCGAATGGTCCACGGATAAATCTTTTCTGTCATCGAGCAGAGTGGATTATAGCTACGGTAATTGTTTGTGATAAATTAATAGATCTAATGAATATGATTACAGATATTATGTTTCATCAACATAGTCCTATACGTCATAGACTTTTCACTTTCATGGTTTTCAGGTGTCACAATGCTTTAATAGCTTAACTTCTTACATAATAATTTATATTCTCAATGTACTACTTGACAGACATTTCATAAGATTTCTATCGGAGCTTTTATTTTCTTTCACTTTTTTTTATATTTTTCATCAAATCATCTCTTCACATGACCTCAGGTGTGAGCTTTCTATTCCCAGTGTTTGTATAAAGAACAATAATAACTCGACGATTCGAAACATTTCTTTTCTTGCTCATTATCATTAATATCCATGAACATCCAATAATACTGATGCTCAAAGTCTTTCTTCATTGTTTTTTTACGTGTTTTGTTATAAAGAGTTCTTTTACCCTTTGTCTCTTTTTTTCTCTTCGTCTAATCAAAATCATCAACGTGGAACGGTTACAATCCATACGACTTTCCAAAAACGACCATAGATCGTGCACGTCTGGGAGAAAAGACCTGTTTCCTTCTATCACAACCTACTATTCTTTCTTCCGTCATTCAAGCAACAAACAAACAACTTTCATCATCTCATTTCAACCTATTTCCCATTTTTTTCATTCATTTACAGGTAACTTCATCGACTGACTCATGCCTCTGTCATCTATTGAACTTTTGGGAGTTACTGATTCCACTGAAGATGCTAGAGTTGGTTTTTCGTTATACTTATAATCGTATTAATTTACTTTAAGTATGCAATTGCTCTTCGAAAAACAGCTGGAATGTTCGCTGAAGCTGTCAAAATTTTCGATGAAACGGACGATCCTCTCAAACACGACTGGAAGTTAAAAACTGAAACTAAAGGAAACAAATGTTATAACAAACACTTCCCTGTCGGAAAAGTTTATTGTCTGACGGTAACTTTCGTATATTCCTTCCTCTTTTCATAATTAACGTCAGAAAGAATTTCCTCTGCCCGCTCAAACTCTTTTTGAACATCACTGGAATGAGGTAACATAGCATGATTGTTCGATAAATTTCTATTAAACTCAGATTGAGAAAACACCAGAATGGAATCCAAATGTCCAACATTCGAAGAGAGAACATGTGATTTCAGAGAACGCCGACATTATTCATGTAAAACATATTTACAATAGAGAGAAACCACGGTTTTCAGTATGCAACATCGGACGTCGTCGTCGTAAAAGGTCGTGACTTCGTCGTCTGTCGAATGTGGAGAAAATTCGAAGAATCTTGGATAGTTGCTGCCAGTTCATTCGATACCGATATTCCTGTTTTACCTAAAAAGAAACGGTTAAGCAAACAACTCGTTTTAATAACTCAAACTCCGTATTATAGAGGATTTGTTAACGTTTGTTCTGGTAGATTCCGTCCTCATCCGCAAGACGCAAACAAGACAATCCTGACATATTTGGTTTGTGTGGATTTAAAGGATAAGCTTATGCCAAAAGCTGTAAGTCATTGAAAGGGGAAGGAATGTATGAATGGTCTTATAGGTGATAAGCTCAGGAATAGCAGAAATGACGATAAAGGATGCGTCGTACGCTCTCAAATTCATCGAGGAAGAGAAGAAGAAGGAGGAGAATAATCAGTCATAACCTCTTTATTTGACTTTTACAAAAACGAAAAAAAAATTATTGATAACTATCTTTGCAAAGATTGAATATACATACCCGCCTACAGGATAATAAGCTAATAAACTCAATGATAACAGTTACTCTTTGGAAAACTCAATTTTGGAATCTCTCCACATATATATCACAGTTTCTATAAAAACCTCGAATTCTGAGACTTTATCTGCAACAGACGCCATCAAATGGGTGTGGAGGGGAACGGCGACTTACCAGAACATTCATTTGAGCATCATGGACTAGATCACGTATAGCTTTCTGTAGTTTTAATAATTCCACCCTATCTTTATATCCTATTTCTCTCATTGGATAAACTAATGAACGACCTGCAAAAGAAAACTGTGAATATAATTAAGAGTTTCAAGCTCACAGAATCCCATGTATTCGTCGTCGTCTTCAAGGTCATCTTCTCTTAACCGCTTGGACTTTAACGAATACTAAATCATCAATGGAATCATCATAATAAAGAACAAATCAAACCATAGAAATGGCTTCTTCTTCCTCAAACCGTCGTTTATTGTTACTTCTGATTAATGACTCAAGAAAAGTTAGTGAACCATAGAATTTCCATTTAGGTGGTATTACGCCGCCATCAGTATTATATGTTAGCTGGAGAGCGATTGGTTTATCATCAGATAAAAAAAAGCTAACCTTTTTCCTTGTTTTAATATAAGTATCTTTCAAATTTTTCCACTGCTTTTCGACTTCGTCAGCTGTAAGCAAGAGATTAGAAACACTTCTGATACGGAAAATGACATACGCATAAGTGGAGGTTCTACTTGATGCTGCTGATTAACTTCTCTAGTAACTTCCGCAAATAATTCTTTTCTATTATGTCCAGTTGTCTTCTCCCTTCAATAGTTACGGTTAGCCTGTATTCTAATAAGAACTATCTACCTTTGTGAATCCCATATGCCTGGTTTCTGACTAATAGCATTTATAATACTAAAGCGAATGTCATCTGTTACAGGACATTGGTGATTCTGAAAAAAATTATCGATAAAACCATATTTGACTGAACTGTTTCTTGTGAAACTCACATTAGTTATGACTTGTTGCTGCACAACAATAGGAGGGTGCGTCCAGTCTTGATGTAAATGCAAAGCAGGCTTTGTATCGATATTCTGAAACACCGCGTGATAAACTTATGTAACTAGAAGAAACTTGAAGCAAGCTCAAGCCTGAAATTCGCTAAGAACAAGTAAAGCTTACCTCCATCATCATAATGTTGGAATATGTGAATAAAGGAACGCACGCGGCAACATATCGACGCTGGGCGTTTGCGACGCGTCGCGTGCGGCAGCAGCCACATTGGTTTTTGTAGAACTTCAATGAATTAACTTCTTCTAATCAGGAACTTCTTAATGACCAACAAAGAATGTTGTCGTGGATATGGCTGTAAGAGAGTTGCGACTGATTAGACAAACAATAGAATGTAAACTTTTATTAAATTTGATTTTATTATGTCAATAATAATTCTGCTACATGAAAAAGTACCTGTAATTAAGTTAACTAACTACACCAAAAAACAACGTGGTTATTCTAAAAGCTCCAATAGTTTCTATGAGAACTACAAGTAAGATTACGTATGGCAAGTGACTAGGGAAGATTCAATCCGTATTTACAATTTATGAAACCAATCTCCGTACCTTTGAAAAATTTGAATTTCTATATTCTATCTAGAGAGCTATCCTATTATTGGGTTGGACGATAGTGAAGTGGATGTTCCGATGATATCATAGGTAGGGAAGGAGAGTGTAAATGCACACGAACAGGGAAACGTTTCCCTGCAATGTCCAACTCGTACTTCCCGCGCTGGATGAATTCAGTCGAAACACCGAAATCCTTGTTCTCGACGTATGCTATGCACACCTATAATAGTTCAATCAGAGCAGAAATAATCGTGTATCTTACTTGACAACCTAGAGTGAATCCGTAAGCTGCTGATGTTGTAACACCTACTGGCTTTCCATCTCTGTAAGCTAATATTCAGAAAGAAATCAGGGATATGCACGAAAACCTGAACAATGTTTCTCCTCCTTGAGGCCATGGATCTGTTTCTTTATCATGCTTGTCAACCAACAATTGCACAAAACGTTTTGAAACACCTCGTTCCAATTGAAGTTCTAAGGCTTTCTTCCCAATGAAATCTTTCTGAAACGATAGATTATGACCGAGGTTAAGATGTGTAGTCTACTTTGAAATCTACACGAAAAGCTCTTCCGCACTCCACTGGTGTCACCGTGGCATTGATATCCTGACCCCAATAAACGTAAAACTTCTCAATTCGTAATTGTCTTAGAGTATAGTATCCAGCATGAAGCATACTATACTCCTCACCAGCTTCGAGAATTCGTTCGTAAACATTTTGAGCAACCTAGAGCAAACAATGTTTTGAAAACAACCGAATCGGCTCACCTCATTGGGGATATAAATTACCCAACCCAACTCACCACAATGCGTGACACTTATAGCTCGGATGCCGGTAGCCATTCCAATGTTTATTTCCTAAAATAATTGTTCAAAACTACATGTGTTGGTACCAATACCTTGCAATGGAAGGTGGGAAAATCTTGACTACCCATAGACATCCCAGTAATATCTGACATCAAATATCGAGATGAAGGTCCGATCACGTCTAATGCTGTATACATTCCAGTTACATCTTGAACGTGTACATTCGCTTTCAAAGCCTTCACCCATTTCTTCATCCACGTCATACAACGTTCCTGTTGGATGGTAGGAGCAACCATGAAGAAACTTCAACAAAAATTCATCACTCGTTGAAAAATTTTTGAGAATCACCTGTTTTCTGATATACGACTAAGAGTACAATCAGTTACATATCCGCCTCCGTCATGCTGCATTCCAGTATAAACAGTAGACCCTATAGGTCTGTCAATGTTCGCAGAACATAAGTATTGTAGAAACTTGACCGCATCAGGTCCCTGAAAACATTATTTCATATGAATAATGTCAGAACAAAGAACAGAAAACTTAACAACACATAAGAATATGCAGTTGAGAAAATGATCGAAAAAGGAACGCGTTCCCTATATGTTTAATTATTGTAGCACTCACCGAGATATCAAATTTGCTGAAACTGCTCATATCCATCAATCCAACCCGTTCACGACATGCCTCATACTCCGATGCTACCCTTGAAGCAGAAAACTGACCAAGGCACTACAAATAAATCAAACCTTTCAAACCAGGATGGTTTTCCAAGTAGTACATCTTGACCTTGTTGAAGAGCATTCCTATCAGATTTTGTGTTCTTTTCAAACCATAACGGTCGTTCATATCTATATAATTAAGATTAGAATGGAATACTGTTCCAGAGTCACCCCATAATTTCTCCAAAAACCGCGCCAGCATCACGAAGCTGATGATAAATAGGAGACATTCTTAAATTTCGCGCAGTATGGCATTGGTGAGAGTGGTACATATTAGAATATGTCATAGCTAAGAATTATCGAGTAAAGACATAATCACAATAAACTTCTCACCTGCGATTTCTGGAACCCGTTCAACTAAGTATTGAGTATTAGCATGTAATTCTAGGAAACGCCCGATATCAACTCGTGCGACATCGATTTTGGGAACATTATCACATATCCAGTCAGCAAGAATCTAGATAATACCAAATATCAAACAGTTTTCGTAGCAAAAAGACTTACTTGTCCTAAACCTCCAGCTAGTGAAAGACCTTGTCCGTTCAAACCGTTCAAAACGTAGTAGCCTTTGGCCTGAACATGAAGTTAACTTGATAAAACAAAAGTGATTATTACTTGGCTGGTTTCGCCAACGCACGGAGCTTTGTCTGGAGTATAAGACTCCATCCCACATATAAGATCACCATGATCTGTTTCCCCTAACAGAGGACATCGATAGAGTAGCTTTTCAAGCGACGTTTCTGAGAAAAATATCAAGTTTTATAGCCTCATGAAGACACTTACCGAATTTGTCCCAATCAGGTTCTGGATAATGCCATTGCCCAAACTCAACTCCTTGTCTCTGTAAAGGTTTCACTCCCTCTTCATGGAAACCAGAACACAATGTTTTGAACCCAGTGGCTCTTATCATGATGTTGCCATCGAGATCATTAAAAACTAAGCAGAAAGGAGTAGGTAATGAACATCAAGTAATAGACATACCAGGAGTGTTGTCAGACACCAAACCAGTTGGTAACTTAGAAGTATGAATATAAGAGTAAGTACATGGATAAGCAGCTGTTTGTAAATGTCTATGTTGTAGCCCTTTCACGGTTAGTGTACCAGTCCACTAAAAATGAAATACTAAGCAGAAAAAAGATAAAATCATACCATGCCACTTGCGTCTACGAAAGCTGGCGCTTCGACAAGACCGCAAGATGTTTTAACTGCATACACTTGCTTCTCATCTCCCAAAAGAACTTCTTGAACTTCACATCCTTCGAAAACTTCCGCACCTGTAAGAAAACGTTTTTCAAAACCAGTTGTTATCTCGAACCATTTTCTTGAGCTAAACGTGCTAACTCCTGACAAAGGGCAACCTGGTCAAGAGCGATATCCTCTGGCGAATACAGAGCTAGCTTAAACAGTAGAGTTTTGGGGATAATTAAAAAAGACACACCTGTACATCCTCTGTTTGCAAATATGGCCATCTTTGAAGCATTTCAGTTTGACAATCGATAAGTTCGACATCATCATTATGCAAAATACCTAGGAAGATTAGACCTTGCAAGATTTTCAAAAAGCAATTACCTCTAGAAAACATTCTACGTAATAAAATTTCGTTAGGAAGAGTCGAAGCCAAATACACCCTTCCACATTTCGTGAATTCTGAAGCAGAAAAATGATTGAATTTTTTTTTAGTAAATCTAACTGAATTTTCCTGATTCCGCTAATTGCGAATACAGTTTAAGAGACATATCAGCTAATTGTTGATTGGTGGAATCTTGCCAGAATATGGGGGCAGTTACAAGTCCTTGACTCACTCCCGAAGCCCCACCACATCCTATTCTGTAAACGGTATATTGAATAAAAAGTAACAACTCGATTAAAACATACACATCTTTTTCGAATAAGCAAACTTTCTTCCCTCTTTTGGCAAGATGATAAGCGGTAGAAGTTCCTGCGATGCCACCTCCGCAAACGACAACATCGGCTCGACTCGATAACGTACTGAAAGATAGGAAATAGAGTGTGGTCAATCAAGATAAACCAACTTAGCATATCTTAAGCCTTGTAACCTATAAGCACATTCAGTTGACCGCAATACTCTAATCATATAAATATCCTGTAATACGTAACACTCATGACAATAATATTTGTATTGAACTCGGTATGTAGTAGGTTTGAAACCATCGATTGATTCCCATTAAGAAGTTGTTGGCAAGGTAATAATTCATTGCATATACTATCATTAGATATAACGAGGAGGATATGAAATATAAAATATAAAACGAATATCCAAAAACTCTTTCAAAAAATGCTTATGTACAAGCCGGCAAACAACAGCTGCATTTCTCGAAGTCATGAAATTAAGTTTAACAAATTTTCCTCTTGTTTCGTTTTCTTGAACACAGATAAAGATAAAACATAAACATCCATTCTATCTTGATAATCTTTCAACTCCTATAAAGGATGATGAAGATTCACTACGAGTTAGAGACATACTTCAATTATCTTTGCAGCCTCATCCTTTAATCCAATATGGGAGTAACATTTAGCTTTCCATATTTTCCATTCTTTCAGAATTATATTAGAGACCTAGGAAATTAGCTGTTTCTTACCTGTGTCTTCACTGAATGGAAGCTCTAACGATAACATATCTTTAACATCCTCATAACGACCTTGATATATTCTGCTTTCCATAGTGACCATAAGAGCTTGACGTTTCACCTCGTTATATTCCCCTTCTGACTTTTCCAAAACTGTTTTAGCATAGCCTACAGCCACTCTATTAGGTGTTTGGACACGGATATCAAATTGTTGCTTCTTACTCAAAACGTCTTCTTTTCATTGCTACAAAAGCAGCCAAGTTTTTTACTTTCATCTTTAAGTCTACATCTGTACTAGCATTCAAAAGAGTCATTGCTGTAGCAATGTAACTCTCAGCTAAAGCTAAATTAACATTGCCACTGAAAACAGAAGGAAAAAAATTTCTATCTATACACAATACTTACGTTTCATAAACTTTCGGTTCCTTTTCACTCACAATGAAAATACCATTGTTAGTCACTGGATCAACTAAGACTGGCTTGAAGTTTGGACGACTTTGTTTAGACCATTTCTTATAGTCCTATAATTGAGTATAATTTTATGAAGTTGTACAGTTCTCACCGCACACATAATATCAAGACTACATTCAGTCATTCTTATCCAAATGTAAGGATCAGTTCCCATATAAGCTACTAACACTGAAAACAACCCTAAAGCTGTTTTAGTGTCGTCCTTCATTTGGAACTGAACGGCTTTACGATAAATTCTGAACGCCATAACGATATGTGGGTTTTCCTGAATGTGCGATTAGTTGCACTCGAAGCATTCTAACAAACCTTCGCTAATATGAGTCCTCTCTCTCTAGCCGATGTCATGACATCTTCGTCATATTTATACGTATTCAGAGCAGCCATCAGTGCAGAATTCCTTAGACGTTCGCGATTTTCTTCAAGCTATCCTGACGCACGCGACGCAGCGGCTCAGCGCCGACTTGTAGTCGCGTGCGTTTCTCTCTATTCCAGCAAAGGCTAGAGATATTCAAAAAAACAGAATATTTAAGTAAGTTTTTATGATTAGTTTCCTTAATGTGCTGTTGTTCGATGACCATTGTTATTAATTGGGGATTTATTATTTTGGGTGTGGCATTATTCGCTGAAACTTTCCACTATCGATGAATACTGATGCGCCTTTTATCAATTCTCTATTTATTGCTATCTGAAAAAGTTATTTTTCCTGAAATACAATACCTAGCAGAAAATTATTGGATGCAAGAGGAGAGAACTTTCAGAAATTGATAGACTGATATTGTCTACTTCTTTTCAGTTCTCAACTATACTACTAATCAAGCGTGCGACTAACTGGTGACATAATGGCTTGAGTCGGAAATGTTTGCTCAACCTTTTGTTTTCTATTTTGGCGTTTGTTTCTAGCTTCAATTCAAACTCATAGTTCTTAGTTTAAAATGTATAAAAAAATTTGGAGAAATAGAACAGTGAAAATCGGGAAAGTGATTGCGCTTTATTCCACTAGGGATCGACAGCTCCTTACTTGACTTTGTTTTCCTGTTAAAATTGGATAATGTTTACTTCTATTACGAAACAGTGGAACTTGTTGGATTCATGTTTAAACATCTATTCAGTATTTCAAGAAATATTCTCCCAAATCTAGGGGTTTGTGAAGAACCGTGAAATAGAACAGATTTGACGAGTCCGGCTAGTGTTTTCGATTTAGCAAGGTAAGGGATAATGGGAGATCAAGAGGAGAAAACTCGTAGGAAGTTATAACATGCTTTCAGTTCATTTTTCCTAGATGAATGCTAAGGTTCACTCAATTCTGCGTGTCATGAGAGTCAAACTCTTTTAGACAAACCATGCAAGTGGGCATGCTTGCCAATCTACTTCTCGGCTATTCTTTAGTCTCTCAAGAGAACTAGATGGTTTCTTGAGCTATTACTCAGTGTACATGGGACATCCCAACTTTTCATTTTTGTGTACGTCATGCGCAGTAAGACTTAACATAGATTGACACAGTATTTCTGGTTATGACTCTTGTTATTGAGTACGTTGAATGGATCAAATTGATGTGATGGGACCGAAATCTCTCTAGTGGCTCACAGGACATTGGTGTCATATCCCAGCCTTCCTTTAGCAGGTTATAAAGGAAAACTGGCCACAGTGCGCAATCTGTCAAGCACCCAATAGATATGCGGTAACTAGCTTCTTGCACGGGATCAACTCTTCTTCTTCATTGATTCATATGAAATAATCATCATCGATGTTCGGAGGCAAGGATTGCTGAATAGATGTTACATTAATTGCACATCTATTTACGTTCCACAACTACGATTTCAAAATTCAAGAAGGAATGTTCCGGTGCTTTTCAGTTTTGCCATATATCTTTCATGTTTTCACTCCCTGTCTAATTGGCTTCGGATTCGGATCAGATTTGGCGGAGAACTAACAAAGTGCTGTGTCTCATCCGGATCAGATTGTATGTATCCGGTAAAACTTTGAGCCAGATTGTCTACCTTCACGTTGTATTCGGAACGCATAAGAACTGGTGAAGTTCACAATTCTTTCAGCACAAATCACAAACTTCATTACCGAAGTTTTGTCAATACAGATTCCATGGATAGTCTCCTACTCACTTAAAAGGATCGTTTGACCGAAAAGACTTTCGTTTGATCTCTATTTAATATATGTCTTAATGTATAAATAAAAAAATTCATTACAAAGTATTCATTTAAATCAAGAAAGGTTCAATTCATAATTTAACCAACGAAAGAAGATGCAGTCATGATTTCAAACGATAGGAGTTGACTTGTGAGCAAACTACAGAGTACAAAGCCGTTTACATAATATGATGCAATCGTCAATCCTTAAAAAGTCGAAAACACAGGAGAATACTGTTTCGTCATATGATGTAATCCAAAATTACTGTTTGACTGGCGGTCCGGAGATTTTGTGCATTTCGACGGATGATGCAATCACAAAACTCAATCGACAAGAGGAAGAAAAAGGAAATTGATTTCATCATATGATGCAATCCATAACTTTTCAGCGAGTTTATTAATATCCAAAACAACAAGTAATACTTATGCCACGCCATCTTAGAGCGATCTCACAGAAGTTGATAGAGTGTGGATGTTTCCGAATGAAATTCTGATTGTCATTTTCAGAAAGATATGCATGAATGTTTATTTTATCTAGATCAGTATGGAATATGAGATTGCAAAATATACTTCATTCAACAGTTTAGTTAGTGTTACCATCATGTTCTTATGCTTTTCGCTGAAGTCCCCAGAGGCAACTGGAGAAAACATGATTCGTAAAACTCCAACATCAACTACGTTAGTTTCAAAACACAAAAATCAAAAGATATATGCCTAAACTAATCCCAACTCAAGTGAAAAAACAAAGTTAAAACACGAAAAAATGATTTTAGACGTCTCTGACGCAGTAATACTTCTGAGATAACAACTCGAGTCTGCGTGAGATAGTATCAATTTCTACAAGGGAAAAATCAGCAATAATTCAATCCCAAATATGGCTCTATTAAGGATTGATCTCTTTAGTCTTCGTTTCAATATATATTCATGGCTACAGATTCTTTTTCCTTTCCACGCTAAAAAGAATTATTAAGTGTAATTTCCCTTTCAAATTTGAAGAGCAGCTTCATCCCACCACTCACTCATGCTTGAATCGAGAAATGAAAGTGAAAAGAACAACCGGGAAGTAATTTTTTTCCAAGCTCTAAATGAAAACGTCTGTTTTTCATGTGCACATCTCTTTCGGAATGGTGCTTATTCTCATATCGGTCTAATCGAATTTCCGGTTTGCCAAGAGTCAAAACGAACCGCCCTCATATTCCTAATTTCTTACACTCAATACAACACGGAATATCGTCAATGGGAACTGTATGTATGGAAACTTGGAAGAGCGATCTCAGAAACAATCGAATCTATGTGTTCGCTCCAAAACCTTGCTGAAAAGGAATCTGGAAATCCTACAATATCTGAAAACAAGCTCATGCGGTATCCGAAACTCGTACTTATTTACAACTTTGTAGATCTTCAGAACATCTGAATTTGTAGAATTTCTACGCTACCCCTTAAAGAATTGTATATGTTCGTATATCTTTGATCTGAGTCGAAAAAAATGTAGAAATTGTGAAAGAACGGGAAAATAAATTTCAAGAAACTTCTGGAACAACACTGCCAACAGGTAGAGTCACCCATGTAGTGATAAATCAATAACTCAGCAAATAGTTTGATTGCGGAACCTATTGCATCATAAATAGAATGTACTCCAGTTCATTCTGTGGTTAAACTAATATCAATCAATAAAAATCATTTCCATCTAATATCTTTCTCATAAGTGCCACCTACTGTTATTGGAGTCAAAATAGTAGCACCAGCTGAATCTATCCATCAGTTGTTGGATTAATCTTGATAACAGATTACTTAACTGTGAAAACAATATATCACATCTGACAGAATGTATAGTGGCCTCAGTTATAATTAGAGTTGTAGTTGATCTTTCGGCTGCTTAGCACTTCTAGGAAACTTGGTTTGCTAATCTATTCTTGTCTTGGCATATGATGTGTACCGAAATTCCAGCTCATGATACTAATGCTCAGAAAACGATGTAGGTACTCCTGGCGACTATGAATCACACATTAAATTAAATAAATATTTATTTGAAATTAAAAAATTAATTATTAAAAAGTTAAAATTTATCTTAACATGGCAAGCGGTAACGTTGAAAGTAGCCAGGACAATTCGCACAAATGTATATGCTATCAGTTAAGAACTGTATTTGAATTGTAAGAACATATATAATATATAAATGAGAATAATAATGAACAAGCTGAAAACAGGAAAACGTATGCAAATGAAGCAGATTTAGTGCACACACCGCTACCTCGCAAACTTGTAAAGCAGTACTGGCAAGAGATAGAGAATAACTGGACTAGATATTGATGGAATCATAAAACTTTTTCAGTAAAGCTCACCGAAAAGCAGGAAGAAAGAGTATTCGGAATTAATTAGCTCTCAGAAACAAATACTAAATCGGAGAAGACCCTAAGAAAGAAGTTAATAGAAATCTGTGCATGCACATTGACCTGGCATCCAATGATATACAGGAGGGGTTTAACCGATCCAAATCGAATAAATATAATAATAAAATATCACTGAGCTGAGCGAACAGTATCGATGATGAAAAGAAAGTATGCTATCGGATTTTCGTTGACTTGTACTCCGTATGCATAAAGCTATCTAATACTTCGACTGCGACCGCTGAACGCAGGGTACAAACCGAGATGAATTAATAAAGAGAAATACAGCGAAATAGCCTAGAGAAACAACGGTCAATTTGAACACTAAATTTGTAGGTTCGAGTTATTAGCTGGAGTCCAAGACTCTTTCTGAGCTTTCCACTGTTTATAATTAGATTCCAGCTGAGTAAGGAGATGATCCAGTTCTGCGAAATCAGAAAATGTTGTGAAAGCTTCACGCACGAACATATCTGCAAGAAAGAATATTAAAATCATTGTTATAAAAAGACAATACCGATAAATCCACATTGTGTGATCGGAACATTACAAGTCTTTCGATCAAACACTTCCATTGTGACGGGTAATCCTTTTTCCCTTTCTTCTCTCGTCTACAATTATTAACACCATGATTAAACGAAATTTAAAAAAAGCATACCTGATCAAAATACTCTTCAACAATCCTGTGAGCCCATTTCTGGCAAAGGGCCCATTCTCTTGTAGGATTAGAAATATCCGCACACTTCACAAGCATATTACAGACTGTTAAAGAATGAGAGTCACGGATATCATCAGATATGTCATTAGCATTCATCTGAAAGATCGTTAAAGGTTATTACAATTGTTACGACACTTACTGAAGCAACTTTGTTGAACTTATCCAGATATTCGAAATGCCTGCTGATATCTGTTGCTAGTACCATTTCGACTATTGCCATTCTCATGGCGTGGAACTCTTCTCGGGACAACTGTCCGAAGATATTGACCTGAGCATAGCTTGTAATCAAGTTGAACATGAGTTTAACTTACATTGTTACTTTGTTGGAGGGTAAGTTGAAAAGCTAGGGCAACATGATGATTTTCAAGAACGGAATGATCATTGTAAAGGACAGCTAATGATTGTCTCGTGTTGATCAAAAATGCATTTCCTCGACCCGGGTGATCGAGATCGTGTACGGCTGCAGCAATCAGTGCTGCAACAGCATGGTTCTCACTAACATATCCAGCCACCGATGATGATTCGAGGAAGTATGATGTGGCCTGAATGAATAGTTTTGAAGAGGTTTGAAAGAAACAATTACCTGAAGAACATCTGCAGCATGAGTAGCATTGTGGTATGCATTTCCAGAGTGGTAGTGCGCTTCGATTGTAGCCAACCATCTGTGCATAACTTCTTCATTGCATCCTAAGAGATCAGCAACCTTCCATCGATCAAACACCTATAACATCATTATAGATACGAGATAACACGGAAAGAAGCTACCTTCATGCCTAATTGAGTAAGAGCATGATGTTCAGTGACTTTTTCTAATTGTAGGATATCGAATGACCATGTGTTATCATTCTCCAGAGCATTTTTAACATCCGCTGAAACCCGTCTTCGTTCTCCTTGTGACCCTGTAAGCATTTCAATAACAAAAAATTCAAAATTGCCTCATTTATGTGAAAAACATTAATTTCGAAAAAGTTTGCAAGAATTAAAACGCCAGAAAAAAAACACTTCACCCAACAGTTTCAAAGGTTCCCGTGATGACATCATTTCTTAACATTTGCACATATTCTCATTCTTTTTTTTTTCTTAAATAGTACTCATTATTAGGATTGGAATGTAAAGGCAAGACCGTTCAATCGCAAGTTATAATTACAAATACGAAAAGATGCTCATTTTCACGTATACGTGGAAAACGACACCAACTCTTCACGTGTAGAAAATAATATTCAAAAAACCCAAATTAAAGAAGATTTCTCAGTTGGAACATGTTTTCACTATAATTTATATATTTCAATCGAGAGTTATGTCCTCAAAAATTTAAAGAATTAGACTTATTTTCTCATGGACGTACTCACTCCATTCATTCCGGAAATGACGTAGTTCAATCGATGCATGAAAAATTCAACACTAATTTTCGCCATCTTTTCTCATTATTTGGATGGAAGAAAAGAGAGTAATCAAAAATTATTTTCTTACGTTTCTGTTTTGTGATTCTCGTCTAAGTAATACACAATATTAAGAAATGATGTATCTATTGTTTGTGGCCAGTGTGTTTGGATTTTCGATTCGAAATATTCACCTCGTTTGTCCCTGAACGCATCAACAACACTCCGTTTCCGTTGTCTGGCTGGATGATGAAGTCTGATCAAGCCATCATAGTATTGGTTAGCCATACGATCTCCATCACGGAATCTTGTTATTGCTGGAGCATATTCATGACTGGAGAGCACCTTCAAACATGGAACATTATTTCAATGAAAATTATATAAAGAATTTCTCACTTTTACAGCATCTTTCACAAGCTGAGCAGGTTCACCTTCTACTCTACCAGCAGCGTCACGCAGCATTGATAAAACCTAACAATAAGTCAATTGTAATATCTTCATAAGAAATAAAATGAAACCTCTGTTATTGGAGCTTCTGCAATGTTTGTTTGGGACCTCAAACTCTTTAGTGAGACATCGCGATACATCGCGCCTGAACATCAAAATGTCATTGAACAAAGTATTGAAATAATGTAAGCAACAAAAATCATTCTGTGGATTTCAAAGATGACTACAGACATTCTCTTAGTGCACTAATTCACAATTGACACCTCAAGCGTATGTTTGACAAATTTTTTATATTGAAAAGAGGAGGAAGCATTATTTCTTTGATGCAAGAGAGAAGAGGAGGACAAAAAAATTTTTTTCCAAGCAATTCCGTTCTGATACTCTTGTGTAGAAGAAACTCATTAAATTCACAATTCAAATAGAGCTGAGATTCCATGAAAGGGATGGAACGACATGATAATTTAAAAACATTCTCAGAAGGAATTCGAGTTTCTCTAATGTGATTCTTCAATTATTCTGGGAAGTATTACGTCATCGAGATCTCTTTAAGACAACTGTTGTTTGTGAAGTAGCATTTCAATATCTGTCGCAAAATAAGTTCAATGCAAAGACTTTCGAAGGATGATCGCTGCAGAGACTTTACGACAGCTGATGGGATGAAGAAGTCCATGATGACTAAATATATAAATATATATACATATATTATATATAAATGTTCAGGTACATGGACTACATTCTAAAGATAATGCTAACTACTGCAGCACCTGAGCAAATGTTCCAAACGACAAAAGCTTTGCTCTATAAGGTGAACAGGAAAATGAGGTTTTTTGCCAACGGAGAGTAGCAGCAGGAAGTAGTTAGATTGAGCCAGGAAATTGAAACTAATTGGAATGCAAAAGAAGACAAAAACGGAAAAAGGAGTAAACCGTATCAGCGTTTTGCCTCTTAGCCATGCAACGTAGAAGGGAGAAAACAACTAAAGCTGCATAGAAAACTGCAAATCTGGACAAAACATTCCTTTTTAAAGATTCCAATTGATGGACAAGAAAGCTGCCTCCGTATTCATCTGTTTTTGTTGATGAACATCACAGTTTTCAACGAAAAAAAAAGTTTCAATTGAAATATGTGAACGCGGAGTTTCTATTCAAATAATTCGTTTCTAAGCTAATTTAAGTTGGAAAGCAATTCCGAAGAAATTCTCGGAGCTCTTTTTCTCGTATTCGAGCCAACTGCTTGTGTCTATCGTTTGCTAGATTCTAGAGCTCATCCAAGAACGGAAAACAGAGTCATGAAAAATCACCACGATGCTTCCCCCTATTTTCGAATGCTGCATGTTGTGAAGCAACATACTTTTCTTACTCTTGATGATGCCAATAAGAGAAGCTGTTACGTAAAACATGAAGCTTACACACTTTCGAAACTCATGTAAACGAATAGAACGATAAATACGCGATTTTAAACAGAGTTTGAGTTATGAATATATTAGGGAATCAAAGAAGAATGAGAAGATATAGAAGAAGATATAGTTGACAAACTCTGAAGACGAAACAAGATAGATGAGCCTATGGAGAACAGCAATTGAAGAGATAGACATGAAGAAAGAGCTTGCTGAAAGAGAAGCTGAAGTTTACTTCTGAGCTCGAACAATAACACACGTTTTCTAGCTTTCAGAAAGTATATGACGAAAAAGAGAATATTCAACTCAAATTTGATTTTCCATTTTCCAATAAACTTCTTTTCTGATAAACGGACTCAATTTTTGTTAGTTGTAGTAAATATAATGAATGACTATCGTATGCAGCTTATTCAATTCTCACCCATACATCATTCAATATCATAAACGCCGACTTGAAAGGCGTGGAAGAGGTGAAGAGGAAGTGTTATGAAAAACGTTATGATAAATGACAAAAGTAGATCTGTATTCAAGTACACAGATCATAAAACTATATGGTTATGATGAAAAGCAATGTCTAAAGCCATAAAACATCAGGCATGTGTAAAACATAATACAATGCAAAGCTCGCCATGATATGTTACGCTTTCTCGTCTCTTGATATATTTCAATTAAGAAATAGAATTTGAGACAGAGGTCTTGTTAATTAGTATTACTTGGAAACACGAATGTTATTTAGAAAATAAAAAATTTAAAGAAAAAAAAGAAAATAAAAATTAAAAATGGCACTTACCATCCATGCTACGTCGCTTCATGTACACGTACTGAGTGCTGAAAAAAGCAAAATAAACAAAAGCTTAAATGCCACATGTTTGAGAAATTGTTAATGTAAGAAGCAATGAAATTTTTGTTGTCTCCATCATGAAAATTATTAACTTGCTAGGCTTTTCCATCAATTTGAAAGTATTAGAGAGGTTAAGATGCCTGCCACATGAATTGAATTGGATTAGACGTTAAGCGAATTGTTTTTGACGAAAAAAAAAGCGGGAGCCACCCTATCCATCAATGGCTTAATTCCGGGAAAAGTGAGGCAAGCAAACTCGTGAGTGCATAGTGACACCGGAAAATGACTTAACTTCAAGAAATTTCAATTGAGGTAGACTGAAGCAAAGGAATGTTTGAAGTTTGGTCATTGTTGAAGATTAACTAGAGTTGAAAGTGTATACTAAAAACCGTAGAAACGATGCTTCTCGTACAACCAACTGTATATAGATTTCAACCTTTTTGAGCGAATAGGAAAAAAACGTCTATAATTAACGTTCAACTTCGATAGCTACTATATACATTGCATATGTATGAAGCGCCTCAACGCACTTCAGAGTAAAGGAACCAAAAAAATTAAAACTATAAGCCTTGAACGAAATAAACTAAAACATTCATTGAGCAAGAGATGTTCCCAGAATGAGCGAAGGAGTGAGTGATATACGGAAAAACAGACGTTTCAAAGAGACGAATAAGAACAAATACATGTGGAGACTAACAAGACGTCGATGATCAGAGTAAATGCACGGTTCTGTAAGCAGAAGCTGAAGAACACACGTTCGAGTTTGCATTATAAAGAAGAAAGTAGAAATGCATTGCTAATGAAAATGAATACAAAGTCATTGATGTAGGATAATGGGAATTGAAGCAATATTTGATAAAAATTGGGCTTCTATAGAAATTTTTTTTTTGAATTTTTGCTCAACGTCACAGGTCATTTCACATTGTTAGGTTTAGGTGTCTGTATGTTCTCCTCACTTTACAAAGAGAACCAAGTGAACGAACCGACTGCGTGTAAACAGACAATGGACACGATCCAGGATACAACTACCGGACATTAGTCGATGTAGACAATCATGACTTCTCATGCTATTGAAGATGAACGCACACATATATCGAGACAAGCCGAACTGAGCATATATTTTTGATCCTTTTAAAGCACTCGAACATTCAGAGTAAAAAGCTTTTTAGAGCTGAATATCCAAACTTTTCAAAGGATGTAAACGAATCAAAAATGAGTATCTTCATTTCTATCCGTCAGGTGTATCTCGCAAAGAATTAATAATGAATGCTAGCTGGCAATATAAACCATCCTTCTGACTTATGTGTAGTCACGAAGGAAAGTCAATATAAGTTTTCGATTATGCATGTGAAAAGAAATCATTTTGAATAGAAACTATAGAGAAGTATTAGAAAGCTTAGTATCTTGAAGCTGCGTGCAACTCAAAAACCAAAGGTTTGTACCTTTTCGAGGAATAGGAACAGAAAGACAGCATAACGAGAATTGTCAATTGAAATTTGATCAAGCATATATATGGAAAAGAGAAGAGAATGATTCATTTTTTTAAAAAATTAAAAAAGAAAGAAAGAAAACATATCAGTAAGAATTGAAGGTCATCCGGAGCCGAATGGCGCATGTGAAATAACAAAACATTCGCCATAACTCTGGAGTCATCAAATGGAACTGCTTGCTTTAATAGTTACGTCACTAGCGCGCAAAGGGAAGTGTGATTTTTCAGCAAATATTTCTACGTAGATATGTCAATATTTGTAATGGGTAATAGAGAGATTGAGCTCAAAATATCGAATGAGATCAGGCGTGTTAAAACGCAAATCCGTCATAACTACTAAACTTTTAAAAATTCTGATATGAATTATAATTTCGTGAGGAGACAAATGTAAGCCGATACGTCATGTGGTAGTTTAGTCGGAAACACAAAAAAAAAGTTGAACTCACTTGATTGAACTAGAAGGAACCCGAATGCACTTCCAGTCACTGCTCCGTCTTCGCTCCATCTGATCGTCACGGGGACGAGGAAGAGATTTTCTTCGGACGTCTGATTCAGGTTGCCCTGAAAAATGTAGCTGTGTTCTTTGGCTTCTTGCTTTAATCCTATTAGATGTCTAGATGATTGAATAAGACCCAGAAATATGTGTGTGACTTCATGCTAAGCATAATTTCAACACAACTCAATATAATTTCGCTAACAATTGCGAAAGTTTTTTTGAAAGCATTGAATGAAGTAAACGTACCAAGAACTTCTTGTCTAAGACATCCTGTTACATGCTCATATGCTCGATTCACATACTGAACTACCCGTGCTTCATCACAAACTTCAACAGCTTGATCCGCCTAGAAATACTTGTATTATTAATCATATTTCATACTGAAAAGCAGCTGATTTTTTTTATTTCACAATAATCCCTCTTTAAATTCAAATTCATTTCACGATGTTGATGTTTACTGCATCTGCTCACTTAACCTATATACTCTCCAAGTACTCTATTGTGCAAAATAACAAAAAAAAAATTTTCTTTCTTTTCATACATTTTTCTGAATATTTTCATGTTGAATAGTGTACCTCGTCTAAGATGGCGAATAAAGCAGGGAGAACCCGTAAACGATTACTGAGCTTTGCCACAAATTCTATTAACGCAGTATCATGTGAACTCCAAAGCACAGACTGAAAAAAAACTAATGAATGTATGAAAAGGTTCAAATGAGTATTACATGATATATAGATGTCTGATTAAGTTGCTTCCGTCTTTTGTCCGATAAAGGCCTGAAATCAGTAAATATCTTATTAATATTCCCTCAACATCTATTTCTTCAGCCGTTCTACGTAACGTTTTTGAATTGAAATGAAAAAGATGTGTATACTACGTGGATTACGTAAGAAACCTAATTAGCATACGTGATAGATA